TTTTGAATCTCCTTTTTTTTTTCCTTTTTGTTCTGCTCTTTTTTTTCCCCCCTTTTTTTTTTTTTTTTTTTTTTTTTTTTTTTGCTTTTTTTTTTTTTTTTTTTTTTTTTTTGTCCACAAACACTGCAATGTTGCCTTTTCTTCTTTAGACTCTAGTTCTATCTAGGGTACTTTTCCGGGTGCCCGGGCACCCAACTTGTGCCCGTATACACGCCCGGGTGCCTGGCGGACATGACCTCCGGGCAGGTTTCCCAACAGCTCCAGCACCCGAAAAACAAAACAAAATCCAGCAAAAAAAATGTTGTGTAGAATTGCAATGCAAAAGGCTTTTGGCTGAGGGGCACATCAGAATTCCTCACCGAATCAAAGACAAAAAAGAAAATAACGGAATCAGACTTAGGCATCCCCCTTAAAACCCCTTGAGCCCCTTCAAAAGAATCAAAACCAAAAAAATTATACCCCCCCTCCCACCCCTTAATAGACAAAACTCAAAAAAAGAAAAGAACCCGGATTTCGGTTCCTCTGGGCATGCACACAAAACCCCCACTGCCCAAAAAACAACGAAGAAAAAGTTCACCCCACTTATTCCCACGCCCAGGTACCCCGGGCGTCAGACTTGTTCTTTCTTTCCAAGCCCTTGTTCTCTGACTCTTGTGCAAGCCTTTCGACGTTCACATCTGCTGTGCAGGTTTGCCCAGACCAAAATGTGGGTATATGCACTTGGCTCGGAGTTGACCCTGGTGGATTGCTGCTCCATTACAAGCAGAAAAATGGCCAGCATTGGAAGGTTGAGCTTTGACCCTGGTAAGGTGAGAAGGACATGAAAATGCTTCTGCACAGAATCCACAGTGCTTTAAATGATGTGCCTACGCTTCTTGGCAAGAAAACAATTGCCGTGATCATTGTGACGGTTTCCATCGTTATGGAGTTCAGTGACGGTCATGCTCATGTCCTTCATACCCACGCAATGGCCTATAGTTGCCACAGTCATACAAACAGGTTCATGATAGCCAAGGTCATGACCATGCTTCACATCACGTTCAGAGTTTCACAATTCTCATGCTCACGGTTCGCCTACCACAGAGTTTCACTAACCATCGGGTTTGACAGTTTACGAGATTGGCATGTGTTCATTATTATCATGGACATAATTATGCCTTCTGTCATCACAAAAAAGTTTGCACAATTCCAGCATGGCATCACATGCTTTCCCTCGGATAAAGAGTTTCGCCATCACCGCATTCATGCTTCTGATGTCATGGTCGTGCTTGTAACTGTGACAAGAGCTTCATGATCATCTGCTAGCTTCAGCATCATCATGATTGGAATTCAGTATATGCAAACTTCAGAGCCTAAGAATATAGCAGAATGAGCTCTGAAAGACATTATGACCAAGTACCTTTTGCCCTGTTGTAATGACCCGTCATCACACGGACTGTAACAGACAGCTGATTTCTGAGTTTGCTCGTGGAATGCATGCCGTACTAAGTCCCCTGCCTGTTGAGTGGGTTGTGTTGGGTCTGAGTGCGTGCCTGTATGTGGTTGGCGTGCCTGGGTGATGAATGCGTGCCTGACTGAGTGCTTGAGTGTGTGTGTGACCCCGTCGGGGCCATGGATGTTGGGCAGGCCCGGTAGGGCCGGTACTTACCTGTGGCGTGGCTTGTGAGGGGTGCAGCCAGGGAACACTCAAGTGGCGAAGCTAGCAGCCCCGCGACCCTTGGTGGGTAGCGGGAAAACACTCGAGTAGGCCGGTAAGTCCAATGTCGGGGTACTTGAAGGCCGAAAGGCCGAATCTTGGGGTACTTGAAAGTCCGGGCAGAAAAGACAAAGTTGGCATTTTTAGCAGTCCGGTAGGTCCTAGGGGTAGTAGTAGGAGTCTAGGGCCTGTGCGGGATGTTTCAGGGTCTGCAATGATGTTTCCCTCCGAAAGCGGAGGCACACCGGTTGCTTGGGAGGCCGAGCGGCCTGGAAGTCACCGCCCAAGAGGCAACCAGGCCGCTATATCAGTGGGCGGAGCAAGGAGCTCCGCCTCATTTGTCGGTCCAGCGGTTGGAGGTCGGCATTTGGAGCGGCGCCCAGAGCAGCGCTAGGCAAGCTGCGCTAGAGAGAGGCAGCGAAGCAGCGCTGGTGGGAGGAAGAAGAAGGACAGCGGAGGAGGAAGAAGAAGAAGAAGGAGGAAGAAGAAGAAGAAGGAGGAAGA